AGAGAGAGAGAGAGAGAGAGAGAGAGAGAGAGAGAGAGGGAGAGAGAGGACAAATAACAAAATAGTAGCTATTTTGAATTCAATTATTTAAATCATTGCATTGTATATAAATAGCTTAACACTCTAATTAAAAGGTAGATATGAACAAAATATATTAAAAGGTAAGACATGAGTATATGTTCCCACAAAAATATACTGCAAATATAAAGACAGAAGAATATAAACGTACCTCTTGTGAGCATTAAGTATAAAAAATGATGTTATGACTGCTACACTTATATTACACAAAATAGGCTTAAAGGACATTACTAGAGGAAAGGGGGAAGACACAAAATGAAAGACATCCTGTAATCCTAACACTTGGGAGGCTGAGGCAGGAGGATCACTGCAAGTTTTAGGCCAGCCTGGGCTACAAAGTGAGTTCAAGGCCAGCCTGAGCTGCATAGCGAGACCCTGTCTCAAAAAGACAAACAAACAAACAAAATCAAAATGAAAGACACAAAAATTATGCATATATGTGCTTAATAACACAGCTTCACAACATATATGTGACAAATGACATGCACATCATGTGCAAGAGCAGTTTATCCCAAGAACATACACCTGCTTTAACATTTGAAAACAAATCATTGTATCTACTATACGTTAACAGTGAGATAATATGGAGAAAAGCCAGGCCGTCATCTCCATGCCAAAAAGCCTCTGAACAATTCAGCCATCATTCGTGACAAAAGCGCTCAAAAAACTAGGAATGGAAGGGAAATTCCTCAGTCTGATCCTGAAGCATATATGGAAAACTTACAGGCAGCATCATAGTAAAAGGTGAAACACAAACTCCTTCCCTCAATACGGGGGAAAGACAAGAATGTCTGTTCTCACCACTTCTGCTTGACATTGTACTGTGGGTCCCAGTTACAGCAAGGCAAAGTCGAGAAAACACACAGCTCGGAGAAGTAAAGCGGGCCCCATTCACAGGTTATATGTTCGTACTTTGTACATGAGTACCTGAGTTATGAATAGTAAATTCCACTGACCACAGGGTGAAATGCTTAGGACCTTTATACTCCACTACATTGTTGAGGGAGTGAAAGCTGACCCAGTAAATGAGAATTATACCGTACTCATGAATTGAAAAGACCCAACAGCACTAAGACAAGTTCTCCCCACATTGATCCATGTATTTAGGGCGATCCCAGTCCCCATCCTAGCAGCAACTGAAACACGATTCTGAAATTTATAAGGAAACGAACAGCACCTAAAATAACCAAAACAATCTTGAGGAAGAACACTTGCATTACCAGATCCTAAGACTTACTAAGAAGCTACAGTAATCAGGACTGTGTGGGACTGGTGTAAGGACTCGTCTAACTTTAAACAATCTTTTCAAAGGACCGAGTTTAGCACTGCGCTGGTAATAAATCATGGGCCTTCTACTGCCCTTGATGGAATCAATTTCATGCTAACGTCCCTTATGCATCTGTATTATTGCTTTACTAGACTCGGAGCCTCTCCTTGCACCCAGTCCTGTGTTACGGAAGTATTTACAAAAGCCTTCGATATCTGCACTATGCCGTATCTCTAGTTTGCTTTAAATCATATTTGACAAAGCACTGGCCATCATCCGTCTTAGACAACCGCAATCTCAGCTTGCAGAGGCGTCGAGGAAACGCGACCTACCCAAGGCGGAGGGCTGGCTGGGTCTCGGGGACGCCCATTTTGGGGAGGACTCGGGATGGGGGGCCACGGGCTGCACTGGGCGGGTCTGTTTGGCGGCCAGTTTCATCAGGCTTTCTTGTCTCTTGTGAAATATTTCCTGCACATCAGCGAGCTTCTGCAGGACTCTCTGGGCTTTGGCCTGCAGGAACAAGAGCAAACCAGGATGAATAGGGCGCTCTACTGCGCTCGAGGGCACAAGGCATTCCCTTTTCCCTCCATGTTTACCCCCTCTGGGCACGCTTATGCAAGTCACTGCGCAAGGCTCGCTCTGCTCCAGAATCTCCTAGGAGTCTGTATCCCCCACTTGAGAGCTCTGGGAGCCGCGGCCATCCCGGTGTCTCCAGTGCCCGGGACTCTGACTGGCCCACTGCCATGGGTAACTGGCGCTCGGTAAATATTTGTTGAGCGGATAAATGTTCACTTAGCCATGGCCATTAACGGTCGGAAAAGGATGTCACAGGCCGCAGACGAAGGGTGTTGGGCCAATGTTCAAAACAGGAGGATTTCAAAATCAGACATCAAGGCCCTGATGGAGAAAAGAACTGAAGTATTCTCAGGGGAAAGAGTGGCTAAATTTGGAGGCGGGATCAAGGGAACCATGAAGTGCCTGTAAGGAAGAGAATACACATTTTTGTGTTCTGTGTGACTCTTTCTCTCTGTATAACAGGAAAGAAATCATAGCAGAAATGTAGGGGGAAAAACAGACTATATGCTTTGGGACAGAGGCTCAGGGAAACAAAGAAAGAGTCACACCAAAGCCTGCATTCAGCTGAATGTGTTTCTCCTGGCCTTGCCGTCGGAGGATGTCCTTCCAGCTGAGGTGGCTCAGCGGAAGTGGGTAGCCTTTCCTTGGCCACACCAATTCTGACATCGCTGCTGGATGATTTGAGCCAGCAAAGGAGACCCTCAGAATCAGAAGAGCCGAGCCATGAGAAGCCACACAGGGTGCCGTAAGGATGACCAATTCCGAAAGTGCAGGTTCAACACCTCCCCTGGGAGGCTGATCCAACTAGAAAATTCATCTTTCTCTCAGAAAAGAGTGCAAAAACGGGTGGTACAAAGTGTTGGTTCGGAAGGCTTCCATGTGTGATCCTTGGACTAGATGATCAGGGTCTGTTTTACAGGTCCATGCAGAGAAGACACCCTCTGATATGGGAAGCTCACTTGTACAGTGGAGCAGAAGTTCTGACAACACAGCTACGAAGATGCCAGGGTCCCCACGTGTCAGTGTGAGGCCATGTTTACTCCAAGAAGGATGCCGATGAGGCCTGTGATCTTGCACTTCTTCCTTAAAATCCCAGTGTAGCTTCTGGAAATGGTGGGGCCAGTCAGAAGAGGCCCTAAAATCCTAAACTCGGGTAAAGCTCTGCAATGGTACTTCCTCCTTTCGTCTTCCCTCTTCCCTTGCAAATCCATTCTCCACATCAGTGGAAATGATCTTCCCGAAATGTGTTCCTGATCACATAACTCTCCTGTTTCAGAGCCCAGCAGAGCCTCCCACCGTCAGGACAAATTCCTGATCCCTTTTCCTAGAGCCCTAGGCTCCCCATGATTTGACCTCGACTTTCCTCCTGTCATCTCTTGTCAGTGCCCTCACCCCGAAACACAACCACGCCTCCCGCTGTGGATGTCCTACAAAAGCTCTTCTGCCTCAAGCCCTGCGGCCTTGCCCTCCTGTTCCACCTCTACTGCTTCCCTGAAACACTCCTACGAGTCTGGAAGACTTAATTTAGGCATCTTCTCCTGCATGGAATATGAAACGTGGTTAAAAAAATATAGTGTATAATTATATTTAAAAAAAACTTTATTACAGTAAAAGACACATTGTCTTTCATCTCTCCAAAGCACTGCCCCTTGTTTCAAACACACTTCTCCCATCGTTCCTGCCACCTTCTGAAGCGGTTCTGGAAGTCCTCTTTCCTGAGTGTCTTTCCTTGCACTGTGGTGGCTGCCTCGAGGTCCTGAATGAACGAAAAATGTTTACTTTTTATGATCATGTTTACTTTGGGGAAGAGCCAGAAGTCGCATGGTGTCAGATCTGGTGAATGGGGACATGCTGTAATGCTCTTTACAAGCTCATCTTTCCACTGCACGGCGCTTGGCAGCAGCGTTTGTTGATTTATCTCACCTTGTAAAGGCGCCCGGGAAAGAGGACTTCCGGAACTGCTTCAGGAAATGCAAGAACAATGGGGTAAGTGTGTTCAAAGGAAGGGGGAGTATTTTGAGGAGGATTTCTGGAATGTGTTTTTTACTGTAGCAGATTTTTAAAAAAAATTTAAGCATTCACCATATTTTTTGATCACCTCTTGTATTCTGGTCTGTCTAGACAAAGGCGACCATCTCATCCCGTGTGCCCCACTGTCCCGTCCTTTGTGTATGTTTTGGGACTCGAGCGCATTGACTGGGAAGATGCTTGTCCTGCACTAGCCTGCAGCACCTGCATCACAAGGACTGTGACGTTCCTGACTGTCCTCCCAGAATGCAGCACAGTGTGCCTGGCACGCAATGGATCCCCGAGGAGTATGTGAAGAATCAGACTTTGCTGTTTGCTACTGAGGTGGCTTCACAGTGTGGACTCGGGAGTGAACGTGAATGAGGACTTGGGGCACAGTAACCCTTCCGAGAGAGCCCTGGAAGGGCCCCTGACAGTGACAGAGTGGTGACTCTAAGAACAGCAGTTTAATTTCTATTGTGGTTCATAGTCACTGGACCGTCCATGCAGTAGATCCAACCTTTAGACAGAGATGGCCAGTTTTAAAATTTTTTATTTTTTTAGAGGAGATCAATGACAAAATTGCAAAGTAATACAGAGAATTTCCATATACTCCAGACCAGTTCCCCCTATGGCTAACGTCTTACCTTAATTTATTAAAGTGGTGAACTGATATTGATATGGTATTGATTAAAGATATATTTATTTAGTTTTTACCTAATATAATTTTCCTCCCTAGGATTAAGCATTACATTTAGTTGTCAAGTCTTCTTATGGCTGTGATAGTCTCTAGGTTTTCCTTGTTTTTGATGATCTGGAACTGTGTGAAGGACACCTGCCAGGCCTGTTGTAGAATGTCCCTCAGTTGGATTCGCCTACTGCCTTCTCACAATCGGACTGGAGTTATGAACTTTGGGAGGGAAGGCCCAGAGGTAAACTGCTGTTGTCATCCCATTGTATCCAGGGTGCCTTGCGTGTATGGCTTGTCACTGGTGATGTTGATCTCGATCATCTGGGTACGGTGGCATCTGTGAAGCCTCTCTAATAGTCACTCTCTCATTTCTCCTTCTTTATACTCTTTGGGGAAAAGTTCCTATGTGCAGCCCACACTTCTGGAGCAGGGAATTACACTCCCTGCTTGAGGGCACAGTATCGACACAAACAACCTGGAATTCTGCCTGTGAGATGAGCTTCCTCTTTCTTATTACTTTATTTCATCACATATTTACATCAGTATGGATTCATGGATATTTACTTTATACTTTAAGTTGCAATCTTATACCATTTTATTCATTTTTTTGCTCAAATTTTTCCAGCATTGGCCCCTGACGGCGGCAAGCATCCTCGCTTCCAGCACCACAAGGTGTTCCAGGAGCGTCTTAGCCATTTCTAGAGACATCCTTTTCTCCAAGGAGTCCGGTTTTGTTTCTTTTTTTTTTTTTTTACTGAGAATGGTTTTAGAAAACAAGGACTTGGTGGTCACTCTGTGGCCTTGCTGCTTAGAACCCTTTACACCATCCATGGAAGGAAATGCGTGTGCCTCTGCCAGTGTGGAAGACGAAGCTGTTACTCCCCAGTGGACAAAGCTCCCTCTCTGACACCATGGGATGTTTAATCTTATACCCTAGTATCATATTCTGAGCTAAAAGAAAGAAAGAGCCATGTTTTTCCTGCACCTGTGACACAATGCCCAAGACTGAGTATAGTAGTTCTAAAGAAAAGCACCCACATAATTAAAATATTAACTGATAAACAATCTTCCTTTAAATTTACAAAGCCTGGGACATCTGGCCACCTTCAGCTGACAGAATGTGTGACATCCCTCCTTATTTTCTAGTCCTGAGCATCAGTGAACACCACACATGTAAACTGCTGCAAGGCTTCAAGTCATGTGCTTGTCCAGAGGAACGAGCCCTGGGGGTGTGTGTCAGTATCAGCTGTAATGTCCCAGAACCCCAGAGGACGGAAGCACCTGCTCAGTGTGTGGTCCTCCTGCTGCCCGTTGACCGCAGCTCCTCGTTCCCTCCCTGTAAAGGTCCTTTGATATACATGAGTTCTCCCACGTCTTGTTTTGGGGGGAACATTAGCTCCCATCTTCTCGGGGTGCCAGCCCTTGAGCAAAAAAGCTTTCCTCCCCACCGACTCTCACCTCCTGAGTACTGCTTTCTGAGCACAAGTACTCGGGCCCAGTAACATTATTTCTTACACTCCTGAGGGCCACAACGTCCTACAGCAGCTGTGTCCAACCCATGGCTCATGTGGCCCTGGACAGCTGGCAATGTGGCCCCACAAGATTGTAAACTTTTAACATTCTCGTGTGATTCTTTTATGACTCAGTTGCGCCGCGCTCAGGTTCTGACTGCACAGGTGACAAGCGCTCCCTGTGGGGGACTCAGTGTGACGGTGACCTCACCTCCCGCACCTGCCACACATACTCCCTCAGTGGAACCGAGACCGTGCGCACCAGACATGGCATGTGCTGGTGCTGCTTGGGGAGTGAAGTGCAGAGATCACAGGGAAGAGCACTGCAACCCACCCACATCTGTGTGAGACTCAGAGGCGCGCCCAGGGTCACTAAGCAGGCATGTAAGCTTCCGTATTAATTATTAAATGTTGGTTGGTTTGTGTTCTTTCAGAAAATAACTTAAGTTAAAATATTAAAACCAATAAAGGAAGTGCAGCTATTGATAGACATTAACTATAGTATATATTTTATATATATACTATATATACACACTATATACACTATATTATATACTATATATACACTATATATTATATATACTATATATACTGTACATATACTATATATATAGCATATATTATATATATACTATATATTTCACCCGGAATAGTTAACTCTCCAGTGCAGGCACACTCGACTCAGCTGCCCCTACCCAGCTGTTAATGGCCACAACTCTCACCAGGATCACAGAGACTGAATTCCAACATGGACTTCGAAAGGAATATGCAAAGCATAGCCGTGGACTCTGGGCCTACTTTGGTTCCTTTTATGGACAGGATTTATTATGATTTTTTTTCTTTTAATCCTTCTGCTCATCCATGCCTCTGCGTGTTTCTTGGAGGTGGTTTATTATGCTTTATTCACTTTCTGGCAGGTGACTGGAGGTGACTGGGAGGGATTTATTTGCTGCAGGTGCTCAGAACTGCAGCTGCCGCAGGTCTCCCTGGGCGGCGCGTTTCACTTCTTTAACAGCTCCTGGAGGTCAAGCTGGGCTGACTGCTCGGCCCTAGGAATTTTGACCTGGAGCTACTGATGCTGTTATCAGCAATGCGGCTCAGCCTTCTCTTTGTCCCCTGTGCAGGGAAGTGGCAGGGCCCCTGTCCTGGGGAAAGGTGGCCTGCCCACCCCACTCCAAGATCCTATCTCATGACCAAAACCCACAGGGAGGAGACAGGAAAAGAGTACCTTAAGGTAAAGCTCCATGCCGGCTGCCCCCATGGCCCTCTGCCTCTGTAGCTGCTCTGCCTGCCTGCTGTCCAACCAGCATGGGCAAAGAGGCATGAAGATGGGGGAGGCACAGACCCTACCCTTAAGCAGCTCCCCGTGTCATGAACAAGACAGACATTACAAACGATAACCGAGATGTAAGTGAACTGGGTCATGTTAGAGCAAAGGTTCTTGACCTGGGTCCAAGGAAAAACTGTAGGATTTTCCCAACCTATAAAAAGTTGTATAAGCCTTATAGTCCCTGTTTGTTGCCCCATTACACCTTTCCCTGCTCTGTGCCCCAGGAAGCTCATCTCATAGAATTCCATCTGATGAATTCATGGGCTTTTGGTTGGTTTGGGCCAATGGAAAGTACCACAGGCAAATCAGAAAGAGGAAAAAAAAAAAAAGAATTCTATTTATGTTAGCTCTTCTGTTACTATAACAAGATACCTAAGACAACCAACTTAAAAATAGGAAAGGTTTAGTTTGGCTCACAATTTTTGCGATTTCACTCTGTGATCACTTGGCCCCATTCCTTTTGAGCCAGTAGACAGGCAGGACATCGTGGTGGGAAGGGTGTGGTGGTGCAAGCTGCTCACCTCATGGTGGGAAGCAAAGAGAAAGGAAGAGTAGGGGCTGGGGCCCCAAGATCCCTTTTGAGGCCACACCCCCAATAACCTAAGATCTCCCACTAGGACCCACCTCCTAAAGCCTTCTACCATCTTCCATAGTGCAAAGCTAAAGGCTACACCTTTAACACATGAGCCTTTGGAGGACATTTCAGGTCCAAACTCTAGCAGTGTTCTCCACCCAAATCCCCACTGGTTGCCCTCTCTTGTAGTCACAGCCTTAGCTCTTCCTGGCTTCCCCTTGGCCTTTCTGGGTTAGGAGTAGTAGCGGCTCCCTACTTCTTGCTGGTTCAGAGTTCTTCACCATCCTTTGTTGTGTTCTCTAAATCCTGTCCATATCATCATAAACAATGCCTGGGTCACACTCCTTGTAACCACTTTGCAAGTAAAGAACCCTGAAAATACGTGAATCAGATACTGGAAAGGGTCCATGACTCAAAAGATGTAGAGAAGCCTCTAAAACAGAGGTACACGCAAGATGCTTCTGATCTCAGGAGGCTGTGCCCTTTAGAACCCTGCTGACTTCACGGAAGAACAATCTTCTCAAAGTGCAAACATAGTCAAGTGATCTTCCCGCTTAAATCCTTCAGTGGTTTCCCCCTGCTCTTAGAATGAGGACCAAACCTCTGAAGTTGGCCCATAAAACCCTACCTCATCTGTCCCTCTCTAACCTCAGCCCAAATGGTGTTCCCTTGCTCTCTGGACTCAACCCTGACCTTTGGATTCTGCACATGTTCAGCTCCTCCAGCCTTGTTCTTCTACCTGGGAAGGTGCCGCCATCTTCTCGTTCTCCAGGAGCCTTCCTTTATTAATGTCCCACTAAGCTGCATGCACCATGTGGGATGGAAGCAAGGCTGTTTCTGCTCAGTACTGCGTCCTCAGCACCCACTACCAAGCTGATTTCCCACAGAGGCTCATGGGCATTTGCAGAGAAATGAGTGGCTGCAGGGGATATTGGAGTGGTGTTTTATATCTGAACATCTTTGCCAAGCTATTTTGGCCGGTAGCCACAGAGGCCACCCAAGGGCTCAGGGCCAGGCCAGTTCCTCTCACAGGGCCATTCTTAGGCAGCAAGCAAAGCCCCCTCCGCCCCCATTCCTTCCCCAATCACAGGACCCAAACAACCCGGAAACAGTACCTTTACATCAAGTGTGAGTATCAGCTCAAACTGGTTGTAAAACTCCTTGGGGCTGAGCAACTGGTGCTCCTTGGCAGTGCCCAGGAATGTCTTGATGTCATTCAAGGCAACATCGATCCCCTCTCGAGACTGGCACTTGTCCACAGCTTGGGAAGCCAAGAGGTAGATTCCTGCTTCACACCACTGGCTGACCTTTTGACAAAAACACGGCACAGCTGACGGCTGACAACTCAGAGCTACGGCTGTGCTCTGAGGTTTGAGCTCCTGAGGGGAGGATTCTGGGCCCGTGGGAAGTTCATGGAACAGCATCAATTTTAGGGTTGTCCTCATTGTAAATAAAACGATGAGGGAGACAAGCCCAACTCAGTTCTACCTGCGCCTACTCTCAGGGAAGTCACTCGGTCAATAAAATGAATCAGAGAAACATTCTTCCCTTCTCCGCTAACAGTAGCTGCTGCGGCCCCAGGAGAAGAAAGTTAAATATTTCCAGGCTGGTCGACCACAGAGAACTGTAGTTGACGGCTTTTGGGCCTATCTGCTAGGCCCCTTGTGTGGCACCCACATGGGTCACAAGAACACGGGGTGATGAATGAGGCATTAGGCCTGACTCTGAGACAGCTTCCCCAGGCAGGGGTGTTCCTTTTAACAAAAATGTCACTTTCCTCTTTGGATTCCCATGTGACCCACAATTACATTTCTTGCCATTTGTCTTTTTAACAGAAGGATCCTAGCATTTGAAGCTTTGTAACTCAGAAGAGTAATCCTCAAATTTTCTGGATGTTAGGATGAAAGCAGGGCATAGTGGCCCACACCTGTAATCTCAGCATTGAGGAGGCTGAAACAGGAGGATTATCATGAGTTCATGAGTTTGAGGCCACCCTGGGCTACATAGTGCGTGCAAGAATAGTCTCAACTATACAGCAGGACCCCGTCTCAGAAAAATAAAAAAAAAAAAGATGTTAACCTGTTTCTTTGGCTCTTTTGTTGAACTTCCCTGCAACACTGTAACAGAAGGGTGCTGTTCTTGTGCTGCCTGAGTTTTCCGAGAAAGTACATCTGTGTTTACCCTACGTTCATCAGGTGACCTGAAGAGCAACATAAAATAACTACACCCACAGAAGAGAGGTTTCAAAAGAAAACTCCCAGGTGCTTATTTCTAAGTAGGAAAATAAGGGACAACTTAAGTGTCAGTCTCCCCTCAACGTATCAGCAGGAAATATGTATTACATTTCAAATAACAGAAAAATATAAAGATATTTTAAAGTTAATGATTACCACTGTGTGAGGATGGGACAGGGAGTGGGAGATGTAGGTGTCGGTGATGGATCCCTACGGTTTGGGTCCTCGAGCTAATGTGACATCGTGCTTGAAGACTTTCCCTTTACCCACCATGCCTAGCTCTGCAGAAAGCACCAAGCTGGAATCTTCTGCAGAGTCACAGGGGAGAAGAAACGGAATGAGGAGGGCAGCAGATGATCAGGCAATGAGCTCAGCACCCAGGGCCGCTGTGCACACCCGCTTCTGAGCCACTTGCTTCTGGAACGACTGTATTTCATTGACATTAAAATCCCTTGGCAGGGGGCTGCCGTAAACAGCCTGAGTGGACAGAAGCGGGCGTGGGAATGCAGCACGCTGACTCACGACCATTGGCCAGATGCTGCCTGGGAACAGCTGACAGGGAAGGCTCCAGCAGTCACCATGGCTGCTGACGAGGAACTCCGCCCTCGGGGTGTCGCTGCCTGTGAGGCCTGTGCACATGGCCTGCTGTCTAGCCCAGGGAGCTGGGTTTGGAATCTGGCTGTCCTGGGTTTGGAATCTGGCTGTCCTGACAATCTGGCTTCCCTTACTTACACCATGGACAATCACTCATCCCAGGGTTCTCAGTGTGCACCCTGTACTACCTACCTGCACCAGCAGCACCATCACCTGGGCACTTGACTAAAACACAGGCTCCTAGGCATCACCCAGGCTCAGAAAACCTGGGTCTCCAAGGTGCTGCACCAGAGCATCTGCAGTTACAGCCAGCTCACCAGGTCATTCTCAAGGGCCAAGTCTTTTTTGTTTGTTTGTTTTTTGAGACAGGGTCTTGGTACATAGTTCGGGTTGGCCTTGAACTCACTTTGTAGCCCAGGCTGGCCTTGAACTCGAGGTTCTTGCCTCAGCCTCCTGAGTGCTGAGATTCCAGACGTGTACCACCACGCCTGGCGCACATGCCAAGTCCTGAGGCCCACTGACTTCTTCACGCTGAGTACCAGTTTCTGCTTTGTACAGTGAGGCATTAGTACCTGCCTCATAGGCTGCCTCAAGGATTAAACAGGTGGCATAATGACATTCCTGGCAGAAACAGAGCAGGTGCCCAGACGTGGCAGGGGTACATAAAGGTCATTCTTCCTCGAGCTTCTCCAAAAGCATTCATCATCTCTTGCTTCTTTATGAAGCACTTTGCAAAGAGAATGCTTGATTCTCCACAGACCTGAAGGGAACTGAGAAGTGTGCCCACAAGGCTGGGCTGAAATGTAGTACTGTCCAAGTCTGCTTCCACACAGAAAGACAAGCCTACCTTTCTCCTCCAATTCTACAAGTTTTCGATGTCTCCCAAGCACTTTTTATTTTACATAAGGCACTTTAATCTCAGCAATCGCATGAGGCAAGGAGAGCCAGGACGACCAAACCTGTTTTACAGCCAGGTGTGGAGGTGCTCACCCGTAATCCCAGCACTCCGGGAGGGTCACAAGTTCAAGCCCAGACTGGTCAGTTCAGTGACTTAGAGAGACCTTGTCTCAAAATAAAAATAAAAAAGGCCTGGAGGTGTAGCTCCGCATGAAGGCTGCAGGCTAAACCCTCAGCAGCTAAAACCCAAACAAACTCTTTCATGTTTGCGATTTTGCTTTGCTCACCTTGTCCAGCTGTCTATGCAGTTCCAAGGACTTCCCTAAAATGTCGTATTTTTTCTTGTTTTCATTGACGAAGTCGTCGCAGAGGTGCCTGAGCTCCGCACACTTGGGCCTGATGGAGTCCGCCGCGTAATGGTGGCTGTGGACGAGCTGGTCCCCGGCCAGTGTGAGCAGCTGCGCTTTCTCCAAGGGCTCCTGCAGAACGGACATCCCCGTCAGGCGTGAGAGGCTGGCACGGGAGCCGGGGCATTGCGAGGCTGACAACTGCCTGCGCTGCGTGCCCGGAACCCAGAGGGAGGCTGCAGAGGTGCGGCTGACCGGGGTCTGAGCTGGGGCATCTCATGCCCTGGAAGTTACCTCCGCCCGGCTCACCCGAATCTGACCCAGAAAGCCTGGCTTTGGAGGGCAGTTCCTGCAGTCGCCACTCACTCACTCACTCAGACATTTGTGCAGTTCTGGGCCACACACTGAGGTTATAGCGCTCTTGAGCCAGGAACTCACAGTTTAATGGCAAACTGAGATGATAACTAAAGCACACAGATCACAAGATATTACAATTCTGATGACCTCTAGGGCAGAAAAGCCTGGCGTATCATCTTGTACGTAATGAGTGACTCTGAATCCACTGTTAACTGAGAGGGAAGAAGAGAGGCAGACACTTGGCCCCGAGAAGACAGGAGGGGAGCTGAAGGTGAGAAGCCGGGGCAGACCTCTCGGCAGCGCTTGGCAACACGCTTATCCCAACCCCTTCCCGAGTCCGCGGGTTCCACCTGCCCCAGCCCACCTGCTCAGCCGCTGGATTTCTTTCCTGTTTCTGCATAACTCACTTAGTTCTAAGCAAATACGCCTCATTTTCCTGTTTTCAGGCATTCACTCACTTGTGTATCACCTGTTACTGAGGATCTGCCGGGTGGCTGGTGCAGTAGGCAAAACCCCTGCCCTCATGAAGCTTACAGGGTAGGGGAGACGTAGGCAATAAACAACTAACTGCACACAGGTTAAACAGCATCTTAGAAACAAGTGCTATGGAGAAAAATCAGACAAAGAGGGAAGGACAGGGAGTTCTGTTGCAGGAGTCATTTTAAATGGGACAGTAATCTCAGTTACTAGGGAGGCTGAGGCAGGAGGATTGCAACTTCAAGGCCAGCCCGGTCAACTTAGCAAGACTGTGTCTTGAAATAGCAAATAAAATAAGAGGTGTGGGAATGTAGCTCAGTGGTAGAATATCTATGGGTTCAATTCCCAGTGTCCTACTACAAATAAAAAAATTTTTCTTAAAAAAAAAAAAAAGATGATGAGAGGTCTTACTGAAAAGGTGCTTTCCAAGCTGTGCAGAAAAGGGTTATCCTAGCAGGTCTGAGGTCACTTTCCCTTAGAAAGGCCTGATTGCAAGGTTAGTTCTTTTTGTAGCCAGGGACTCCAATTTGGGGAAGTTTCTTACCATTCCTTATAAAAATAATGAAAACAGCTCCCTGGGAACTGGGAATGCAGCCCAGTGGTAGAGCACCTGCCCAGCATGTGCAAGGACCTGGGTTCCATCCTGGTATTACCAAAAAAACAAAACAAAACAAAACAAAACAAAAACCTCACAGTGCCAAAATGTCTGTGTGGACGATATGGTTTATACCAAATACCTGTTTGTCCCATTTTCTTTATAGGAGTCTGGAATTCTGTTACGTGCTAGGTGGAGGTGACCTACCTACAGAACAAATCCTCAGTAAAAACTCTTGAGTTCTGAGCTCTAACAAGCTTCCCTGAGAGAAAGCATTGCAAGAATGTTATTATAACCCATTGATGGGTGAGTGAAGTCAGTCCTGTGGACTCCACTGGGTGAGAACTCTTAGAAGCTTATGCCTGGTCTCCTCAGAATATCACTCTTCAAATCTGTGTATGGCCTCCGGAGCCCATGACACACCAGTCAAGAGGTGAGGCAGGGACAAGCCACGCAGTCCTTGACCTCACGTGGGCTGGGGTTTGACCAGTCGGAAAAGCAGGAAGGAGGCAGGTGTGGCTGGAGCAGAGGCGGCAAGCAGGAAGGAGCGGAAGGCGTGATCCGGAGGGAGCGCGAGGGTGGGACTGAGGGCCTGGCCGGTGTATAAACCATATCGTCCACACACACATACTCCTTGTGACCTGCTCACGCTGGAGGGCTCTGAGGGGAGGAGCTGCCTCCTCAATTTGAAAGGATCAGTCTAGTCACCACGTGGAGGATGACAGAGACAGAAGGGTAGCAGGCAGGCCACTTAGCAATGGTCCAGGCGGGAGGCGTGGCTCCCACAAGGCTGGGGCCAAGCCAGCTCCCGCCCAAGGTAGGTTATCTCCCCTCAGGCTCTTCCCCAGCCACTGTCCCCAAAGTCACCCCACCAGGTCCACCCAGCCTGGGCCTCTCTGTTTTTTTAAGCAGCGTCTATCCCTATCAGAAAGTTATCTTCTTTGTACAACATGATTCCTCTCTCCTACCAAAATGTAAGCTGCACGCGAGCACACAGTGGGCATCCAATAAATATCTGATCAACAAAATTGATGAATGAACCAATGACCAAACGATGCAGATATCTACTAGGCGGGATGGTATGAAGCAGCGCTGACCTTCCGGTTCATACATTTTACGATGTATGGGAGAGGGGGGTCTGTAGCACCTTCCCACCACACCGAGCACCCAGTACATACATTCGCCCCATTTCACTTTTTATTGTGAAAATCTAAGGAGTCCTGAAGACTCTGTGACTTCAGCCTTTCCTTTTCTCAACCTGTACTGGGGTTTATGGTTTCAGCAATCTCCAAACCTCTGCGCACCTGCCTGGCTCACCCGCCACGCCTTGCAGAACCCACATCCTTCTTAAGACTTGTAGATTCTGACCTTGTGCGCAGGCCCACCTTGTTACTGTTCGGGTCTTGGTGCTTTCCTGGGGGACAGCCGGCTGCCAAGGCTTCCTTTAGGCTCTCTCTGCTAGTGAATTTGCTTTTCAGCCTGACTGGATTGCTAGAAGATCAGTAGCGCAGAGGCCTGGACGTGTCTGTGAGGACCGTGTGGGGACCACTGAGTGACCTGGGTGGGGAAGACCCGCCCTGAGCATCAGTGCTGTCACCGATGTCGGGCCCTCCAGCCTCCCCGAGCAGGTGTGTTTTGTGTGGCTGCTGCCACCTGTGGCCGTCAGATCACAGGACTGGTCTGTGGACTTGGGTCTTTGAAGACAGATGTGCACCAGCCAAAGCTTTCAGGCCTTCGGGGCTGCATCCTTGATCTCTCTCTTCTGAGGTTTCCGGCTTCTTGAACTGAGCAGCTATGGCTGACACCAGCCTGCAGATAGCCGCTGTGGCACTACTCCGGCTCTGACCGCGTGGGCCGATCTAACAAAGCTGCTCTTAGAATTAGACACATTGACCCTGGATCTCTGCGGACCTCTGACTTAGAAAAGCTGCCCTTCAACCTATGCTGCAGGCTGAAGGCAGGGCAGCAGCAATGAATAAAACACCAATTACACAGGAAGTAGTGCAACAATCAATAACTGGCATCACATCCAATTAAAAAGCTTTTGCACAGCACGAGAAAACACCGAGTAAAGAGACCACTCACGAATGGAGAGAAAGTTTTGCCAGCTGCTCCTCAGACAGAGGACTAATATCAAGACTAGTAGAACTTAAAAAATCAGACCTCCCCGATTTAAAGACCGAACCCCCAAAATGGGCGTCTGAAATGAACAGATGTCGTGGTCTGTCTACACCTTTGCCAAGCTCCAAGGCCTTTCCTGACCCACCAAGCTCTTCGGGACTGAGTTCAAGCCCCTAAGCAATGCACGAGACCCTTTTATTTTTATCTTTATTTTTATGAGTACATGTTTGTCATTCCCAACGATCATTCCCAATGATTCATCGTGGGGATTTTGTGCCTGTGTACATCTTAATTCTCTCCTCACACTCTCCCCTCCTTTCAACCCTTGGCACCCTCCCCATTTACAAAAGCTCCACTTCCATTTTTTCCTTCTATTTGCTCTTTTTAAAAAACTACCCTTTTCCCTTCTTCCTCCCCTTCTCATTTGAACATGTTCTTTCTACTTCCCAGTATCTATCCTCCATTTTGCTCCTTTTTTACCCTTTTCACACAACAGAAAACATGGGATATTTAAGCTTGTGTGTCTGATTTATTTCACTTAACATTATGGTCTCGAAATGCATTCATTTTCCTACAAATGACTCAAGTTTATCCTTCTTGATGGCACAGTAGTACTCTACTTTATATTTTCTTTATCCATTCATCTATTGATGGGCATCTGGGTTGTTTCAAAGATTTAGCTACTATGAATGTGCTGCTAAACATGGATGTGCATGCATCACTGTGGTATGTTGCTCTTAACTCTTTCAGGAAGATACCTAGAAGGGGAATACCTGGATCAAATAGAACCTCTAGTTTTAGTTTTTTGAGGAATCTCCATATTGACTGTCATTGTGATTATATCATTTACACTCCCATCAGCAGTGGAGAAGGGTTCCTTTATCCCCACAGCCTCACCAGCATTTGTTATTGGTTGATTTCTTCTTGATAGCCATTCTTTGTGGAGTGAAATGGAATCTCAGTGTGGTTTTCATTTGCATTGCTTGAATGATCAATGAAGTTGAACACTTTTTCATATATTTATTTGGTATGTGTCCTTCTTCATCTGAGAAATATCTGTTCATTTCAGATGCCCATTTTTGGGTTGGATCTTTAAATTGAGGAGGTCTGATTTTTAAGTTCTTCTGGTCTTGATATTAGTCTTCTGTCTGAGGAGTAGCTGGCAAAGCTTTCTTTCCATTCTGTGATTTGTCGCTTTACTTGGTTTCTTTTGCTGTGTAAAAGCTTTTTAATTTGATATGATCTCATTTGTTGATTTTTGTGCTATTTTCTGTGTAATTGATGTTTGATTGATAAAATCTTTGCCTACACCTATGTCTTGAAGAGTTTTACCTATTCTATCTTCCAGCAGAGCAAGCGTTTCTATTTTAATATTTAGATCTTTGATCCATGTCACTTTTAGGTTAGTGCACGGTGAGAGATACGGGTCTAGGGTCAATCTTCAGCCTGTGGAGAGCCAGTTTTCCCACCGATATTTATTAAAGAGGCGGCCTTTCTTCCAATGCAGGTGTTTGGCCCCTTTGTAAAAAATGAAGTTGCTTGGAGCTGTTTCTGCATCCTCTTTTCTGTCCCGTTGATCCTC